AGTGATCCTTTGAAAACATAAAGGGTCCCTTTTGTTTTTTTGTCCACTTTATGGAGTCAAATATTCAGAAGTGCTCTCCTTTATTGATTGTGTTATGACCTCAGATCTAACAAGAGGAATGAGTAGTTGCAATGCAGACGATTAAATTCCAGAGCAGTGAAAAGCAATATGTGCCCAAGGAATCTCACCTCCTTGGCACAGCAGTCACGATGCAAGCTGTGATGATAGAATACAGCTATCGTGGACTCGTGGGGTGCTGCAGGCCGCAAGAATGTGCACTGGTGTTTCCATGAAGCATCAAGATTGGTGTTCATGTAGAGAGCAGCCATTCAGTTACCTGCAGTAGCTCAATGCCACTGCGCAAGCACCTTTCCTCTCCAGACCACAAGCATGGAGATTGTGGCATTTTTCTTTGGAAGAGATGGACTTAGAGTCAGCGTTGGGCTGGGCACCTCCCAAGCTATATTGCAGTGCAGGACAAAAGGTCGGGTGCTGTTGTGTGTGCACACAGAGACCAGGTAGGTTCAGTCGTTTGGGGACCTTTCCTCGAGAGCAACGTGACTGTGCTTCTGGAAGTCCCAGACTAACACATGAATTCCTCCCGGTTCTTTCAGATGAGATTTCCAAGGAGGAAAATTTAGAGTAGAAGAGCAGACCTGCAACAGCTTTTCTTAAGCTGGGTGTTATTCCTCCCCATTAGTTCTTGACAGGCCCTCAGAAAGGACTTTGTAAAACTTTTCCCTGAGCTAAAGGTATTCCTGCAAGGCAGAGAGGCACAGGTCTGCAGGAACCCAGTAGTTCCTACAAGGCATTTCATGCATGTCAACAGAACCGTCAGAGGAATATGGAAAGCCTTCAATAGGGCTTCATGTCGTGGCCAGCAAGCWTACTGTTAGGAATCTTGGATGTGAACAGGAATCTTGGATCTGAACAGGAATCTTGCATATGATCAGGAATCTTGCATCTCTCCTCAGAGAGACAGCAGTAGGTAATAGCACACATATTGTGAAGGGCCTAGCACAAATATCAAAATTTTGTCTTAACTACCATTTACTTGGTAGTGGATCACTTATACTTTTATTACATGTGTGTGGAAGAATTAGCATGTTGAAACCTGTTGGCACTACGGTGACATTATTAGCAGTATTACTACTATTAACGCTACTGTTACGCTTATTAGTACATTAATGAGTCATTAATAGATTATGTGCTGCAGTAATGTATGCCACACTGGTTTCAAGTGAAAATCATTTGCAAATGTTCTTCCTGCTGTTGAGGGGATGTGTTTCCCTGCTTATTACTAGCATTCTAGAGAAATATTTGTCATTGCTCCTACTTGACTAGTTTTTTTATTCTGCTGAATTGCAGTTTGTGGAATTGTGCTTGTTGTTTTGGTTAGTGAATAAGAAAGGACCTAATTCTATATTTCTGAGTCCTAGAACTTCTCACTGAAAGGAAATGCAAAAATACAAAAACTATAGAGGTAGACCTCAAACGTGCTCTTTTAGATAGTAGGTAAGATACAGGATAACATGCCTGTTTCTGACTGCTGCTGTTTTAGGTAAAAAGCCCAAAGAAGCGATTTAGCTCTGTAATATATATAGACTACSTACAGTGGCCTCAACGATGCTTCTCCAGCATGCATCGTACAAACTGATATTCTTCCAGATTATGATTTATATTTTGTGGACTGGTTTGAAATTTGATGCTATGATTTAATTTGCGGAGGAACTGTGTTCCCTTCTGGGGAAATGCTTGCTTAAGAGTGATAGAGGGAAAGAAAGAAACGGGGGGGAGGAGAGGAGGAGAAAGGAAAAAAGGAGAGAGTGAGAATGATAGAGGTTACGATAGTATTACGTTACTGATTGCATAAACTGACAAAACAGCCTACTGTGACTTGGAGAGTTTAATTTTGTACATTTTGGCAACTTCTTAAAGCAGAAAATGAGAGCAGTACTGTCAACAGGGCTTTTGATATTTCTCGGTGTTTATTCTAGAGATGAAAGTGCATTCTGAATTAGGGTGGAAGGCAGCAGGCCAGATTCTGACTTTGGCGACAAATGATGATAAACACTGCAGGTTTACCCCCCTGCAGCAATGGGTAGGAAAGGGTTCTCCCAGTTCACAAAATGTGAGATTTCAGAAGTTATTCCTATTCTTCTTGAAAGATACAGGATCCTTAAAGGGTTTGGCTTTTTTGTATTCCCATAACAAAACAGTAGACAGCAAAGTCACTGCCCTGGCAGATGGGAGACCCTGGGTCACCCGCTTGTTTCTGGTTCACTGTTCTGGCCTCTGGGCTGCAGAACTGGTCTCACTGTTTCCAACAAATATTTAATTACTTACATCCAATATCCAAAGGCTCTTACAGGAAAGCAACATCCAAGAATGGCCTCTTACCTGGAGGTTATTACACCCCTCTTGGATTTAGGATATCCAATTCAGCTCCCTGGCCTGTGTCAGGATTTCATACGTAGGGCTTCTGTGCTCCTGCTGGCTGCAGAAACCATCGGCTGCTCTGGGCAGATTTGTTTATGTATATTTTGACCAGAAGTTTCCTTCTGGACCAGGGAAACCTTTTCCCACTGCAAGATTTGCTAATACTAATATTTATAAACAAGCAAAAAAAAAAAAAAATGCTGGGGGGAGGAAGGAAGATTGAGGGGAGGGAGAAGCAGACAAACATCCAGAATCAAGTGTGACCAAATAGGCATTACAGCATGCGAGCAATTGCAGTCTGATTCTGGGCCATTGTTGTCTTTTGCTAAGAGTTAATGGAAACCACAATGAATTGTGATCATGATTAGCCAGCAAGAATGGTATCCGTCAGTCAAGTTTTGCCACCATTACTCATGTGCAATATTTCATTTCAGAGGCTGCTGTGGCTATTTTGTTGGACCTGAGCGAGTACCTGCTCCTCTCTGCCTCCAGCGCTGCTATTAAAGGAAAGAGGGAGTTGTATTTCCCACAGTCTTTGGTAAGGTACAACTTCCTTCCTTGCTCACAGCTTAATGAGAAAGGCTTCACCTCTTCTGCAAACCATCCTGCCTGTTTATTTATAGAGGCCAGTATCCAGGCAGCATTGGTAATGCTGCAAACCAGACTTGGACCTGGGACGTAGGCTGGTCCAGCTCAGTCGCACAGTGGGGTTTTTGTTGGGTGGAGGCATCTCGGTGTCCTCCTCAGGACATAATATCTTGCCTCTAAATAAATGGTCTGCCCTGCAGGGTAAGGTGATTCTCAACATGAGCGAGGCTGGTGGAAATGGGCTTATAAAAATATCTGAGCAGTGGAAGAAAATAACTGCTGTTTTCCAAGAAGATGCACTTTTCTATTTTAATTTTTGTAAGGCTGTGATAAAATAAATGTTGTCTATGATGTAAAGCCGAAAGGTTGACCAGAACTTCCTTTGTGGTCAAGCTCTTTTTTTACTGATTGATTTTAAGTTCTCTAAATTTGTCCGACTCACAAGTGCAGCGGTGACTTAAGTTATAAGAGAGTGTTTGTGTGTCTTTAAGGAAAAATACAGTGACTCCTCCTCCATCTTGCCCTTCTCAACCTTGCAAGGAACCCTGYGCTTGCCTAGAATATTTTTTCTCCCTCAACGGAAAATGTTGATTAAATATTCAGGAAAAAAAAGAGCAACTCACCCCTCCAAATGCCTACATCCCAYTTTTATTTTGATGAGAAGCTACTGAATATTGGAACAGTTTAGCAATTTTGACTGAAAATTAATTGCTTTGCAGAGGTGGGTTATCAAAACTCAAAGCTTTATTGGAAAAAAAAGACTTTTCTGGTGATAAAAAAAAGAAAAAGTTCAGGAGAGAAAAAAAAAAAAAGTATATTTACAAGGGCTTTTCTGTAGCTGCATTGGATGAGCAAAGCCAAAGCCTTATGGCTGTGCCACTGAAAGACTCMTGAGTGTCTTCTGTGGTATTTTTTTTTCTGAGCTGAAATACTAAGTCGTTCAGTTTTTCAATTATTCTTCACACCAGGATGGATGGGAGGGTTTGGGCTGGGATCATTTGGGTGGTGGAGTCCAGTCCTGCYCACATTACAGAATTGTCACTGTTCTTAGCCTCAGTGTGCCTGGGCATCAACCCCTCTCTGCTCTTGAGAGGGGTATCTGTGCTCGGGAGCAGATGCCTGTGTGGCGTGGCACCTTTGGCAGTCTGGGGGCTGTATGCCTGGGTTCCCTATCTATGAAAAAGAAGTGAGGGAGAATTGCTTGGCTCTCCCTCCAGCAGGACTTGGGACGTGCTCCAAGTAGGGATCTATGCTGATTGACCCACAAGTGCTTTGGGCTGCTTGGGACATGCTCCAAGTAGGGATCTATGCTGATTGACCCACAAGTGCTTTGGGCTGCCTAGGCTGGATCCTGATGGGTGGCTGAGATGAAGGAAATCCCAGGACAGAACTGGGGGCAGCTGGTGTGCAGAAAGGGTAACTGGGGTAAACTTCTCCCTCTGACTGCCCCACGCTTTGCTGCCGATGCTACAGTGTGCAGGTCTTTCATGTGGAGGTATAAAAGTGCCTCAGTGCCTCGGCGAGATGACCGGGTTATGGTAAGTTTGTGACCCAAACAGCCAAGATCAGCTGAACTCCATGTAGTGAAGTCACAAAGTATTCAGTCCTCAAGTAAAAGGAAAATTATTCATCTTCCTTAAAAATCCATGCTTACTTACGTAGCCAGCTTTTGAATAAATATAAATGAATCCAGGTACATAAAGTTCAGATAAGGGAAAAGCACAATGATAAGGGAAGAGCCTTGCAAATCCATGCAGACCCTGCATGCTGTTTCTCTTCAGCTTTGATTCCCTGGGCACTTTTCCTGTCTCTCTAGTCCATTCATTGCTTAGTAGCTCTCAGGCTTTTCCGTGCTAGGGATTTGATCCCCATGAATCTGACTGGTCCTTGCTTTTTGTTACAGATATGGAGAAGAAATAAATGTTCGCAGTCCTTACAAGATTGGATAGATGGACCAAGGGAGTCATGTTTTGATATTAGTTGAGTTTATAATCTTCAGGATGGGGACTTCTCCTCTTTGTTTTCCTCCAAGGTAAAGAGATGAAGAGACATAAAAACTACTCTTATGTATGACTGTAGTCAGACAGCAACAGAAACAGCCATGTAGGCTGCCTGTGGGGGTATTTCTTGGTATTGGCTGTGTTTAGCTGTTGTTGAGGTCAGTTTTTCCAATGACTGGCGGGGGCTGAGCAGCCCATTCCTCGTCCACATCCAACTGGTGAGAGGCCCGTATGATGCCAGGCGTGCAGCTTCAGAAGACACACAAGGTAGTTTTCGGTGGTACTAGAGAAAACAGTTAACAGGAGGGGAAGAGATTTCTTTCCACAGACTATAGTTTCTAAGGGTATTTTGGCATGCAAGTTAACCTTTCCTTGGGTCTCTTGTCAGCAGGTGGGAACCTTTTTAAATTGTCCTTTTACTGAGAAGGGCTGAATCGTCTGCCCTAAAGCATCCCTTAATGCAATTAAAACCAGCAGTACTGCTTCTCCAACACTGGGGCCTCTGATACTGGGAGGGGAAGCCGTGGCTCCTCTTTGAAGTCCCACCTACGGGAACATCAGTGGCAGGACTTCAAAGGGAAGCTGCTATTTCCTGTTGGAGCTCAGCCCTGGTGCTCAGCACTGCTAACAAAGCAGTCGGACTGGTTGTGAAGGCACTGATCCAGCAGAGCACTTAAGCACATGCTTAAGTCCCTCAGGACTTAACTGCATGGTCTGCTGGGTTTGACTGGGCTGAAAACTGGACTGATGGTTGGGTCAAGATTTCAAGGGAGAGCGCCATGTCTAAATGCCTTGGAGGAACAGAAAGGAATAGTGAGGAGAAGGAATCTGCTGTTTTGGAAGGAACAGTGTTGGTGTGGAGAGCAGAAGGTGTAAACTGCCTTCTTGATGTCCTAATACTCTTTCAGCAGCAGTTTGGCTTTGTTGATATTCAGCTTCCTTGGACCTTTCCTAGTGTCATCCAGCTGGTCAAAGGGATGAGGTCCTCAGTTACTCTTTGTTCATTTTTTTTTTCCACAAAAACAGCTCGATGGACACTGTAAATCTGGCCAGCTATTCATAACCCAGTGACTTGCATCTGTTGCAACAGCAGGAGGTGGAAATACCACGAGCAATACTGCTGAATTTAGTGAACAACCTGGAGCGAGACATTGGGCTGCATGAACTACCAGCAAAAGCAAATACTTGCAGATCATCCCTTGAATTCAGAACTAGCCTAAATCCACTTTGAGTTTACCTTAATTGAGCTGCGAGCTGAGTGTCTGGACCAGTAAATAGAGTTGAGGTGGGAGTCTGTTGCAAACAGGTAAGAAATGCTAAAGGTGCAAGCAACCTGCCCTATCTCTTGCTGAGTATTTTTTTTCAGGATTAGTTCCTCTGCTCTCTGTGGAGTTACTTGCAGAGTAACAGATGGCAGAACTGAGACTTAGTTTTATAGCAAGCATTATTCAGGTAATTCACCTAATTTGCACCAACTTCTCTGTTGTTGTCCTCAGGCTACAGATAGGCCTTGTGGTTGTGATGTGCAGCTGATGCACAGGTGCAGATGTGTCTAACCACACTGCTAACCTCACTCTGCATGATTTCACCTCCTCTCCAGCAGCAGTGCGGCACGGCAGCTTCTCCCCCATSACAACCTACATGAAGCCCTTTGCTCACCTCGTGTGCAGCAATTAAAAGAAGACCAGGAGTTGTTCTGTGCTGGCAGCAAAGGTGTTTGCACTTGGAAGGGCTGCTCTTCTATGTGGAACAGCTGTATCAGATTAAACATGGTAGTTTGTAGGCTGTGGGAATAAATAGGTCACCTAACCTGTGAAAAGCTGTAGTTTCCAGGTCCTGCTTCCAGAGAGCTTCTTGTGCTTGGGACAGCATGGTGTGCCAAGGCGCTCAGCAGACTGCAGTCCTCCTCTGTTTGAATGTTCTCCGTCTAGGTTGGAGTCCTGGGGGAACCTGTTGCCTGACACTTGCTAATCCTCCATCCCAAGAAAGTGGTGTGAGAACAGTGTGTTTGCTGGATGCTGTCGCCTGAGACAGTCTGAAGAACAAAGACTAAAGAAAGTCTTTATTCATATTATGAAAGCATCTCCAAAATTCTTAGGACACTGTGTTTAGATGTCACCAGAGGTCATACACATAGATTCTGGTGCCCCAGAGCAAACATAATGCAGACCTCCAATACACAGGTGTGCTCTATGTAGCTCATGCTGACCAAGGCAGTAAGACTCRATTCTGTGCTGATGTCTGTAGAGAAGGTGAAACCCCTTCACATGTCCTTGTCAGCTCAGGTGAAGGATGCTGCTACAGACTGATACAGATGTTACTGTTGGTGTTCCTTGCTAGTTTTATGGCATATTCTTTGTGGCTCACGCCAGTGTCTCTGCTCTGTGGTTTTGTGGGACAATCTAGTTTGGAAGCAGCCACACATGAGGTGTGGATGTGCTCTCCTTTGGATGGGTAGGGTTGGATAGGCCAGTCTTTCCCAGCATGGCTTGTACCTCAGTGCTCTGTGAGGGGAGTTTGTTCCAGAAGGTGAGTGTGGTCACTGCACCTGGGACTGAAGCTGGTGACCTCAGAGGCTGTTGGAAAAGTTTGAACTCAGCTTTTTTTTTGCACCTTGAAAATTCACTAGAACTATCTGATGTGATTTCTTAGAAAGGAGGTCCTGTTTTGTAACTGAGTTTTGGGACTAGTGTTCAAGAAAACTCTGCTTAGTTCWTGTTTCTGGCACTGGATGTCAGATTCTGGGTGGCCTTTAGCAGCTCATTCAGCTCTTTKGTCCCTTTGGTCTCCCATCTGTAAAACAAGCTGATAGCTCCTTTTTTCTTTTTTTTTTTTTCTTTTTTTTTTGTCCTGTTATTAGACAAGACAGCAAGTTCCAGAGTTGGGGGATATATTTCATTATGTGATGTATGGGTACTAGCTATGCTCTTGAGTAGGATCATCCTGTGAAATGAGTAAATTAATGCTAATAACATATCTAGACAGGGCTGATCTTCGGAAAGGTTTCTTCCAAAGGCTATTCGGATTCAAAGAAGGTGCATTTTGTTAATCTTTTTCATTTGTGTGGTTTCTACCCATGGGTTAGTACTGAAAGGGTTTTATCCGATCCAGGGTGTACATGCAAATATTTCTATTTGAATAATACTGGAGAATAAATTTAGAAATGTTTAAAGAGGGCATGAATACCTCAATCTGCTAGGTGGAAAAATTACTACTTCTTGTGGGTAACCCAACCTGTTTAATTTGCTAAAAACATACCTGACTCAAAAAAAAA